TAATTCAACTGGCAAAGAGTAACAGCTAGAATAATATTGAACATAAACAAGTATTAAAATAAGAAAGGACATTGGTAAGAGATAAATATAACAATAAAATGTGTGAAATAAGGCACTATTATTAGCTTGACACCTAAAGTTGCATATGTTCAAAGAGATCCATGACTTTACAAAGAAAATATGAAAATTGTTAATTCTTTTTTTTTTGGGTTTGCCATTTCCTTAACAGATTTACCCACTGCCATCACATTTCTTATTAAAACAGAGGACGCGCCTTCAATTCATTGAGACAAAGTTTGTAACACCTAGTTATGTGGCACATAAGCCTTTGTCCTCATTTACTTCAAAAGTATTCATTTCAAATAAAAAATACAACTGATCAAAAATGAGGGAGCAAAAGGTAACTTCACAGCTGTTCAATATCTTGCAAATTCATTTAAAACCAATGGCAGTCTTGACGTTTGGTGGTTTTTGGGATTATTTGTTGGTTCCAAGATTGAAATCCTAAAGAAAAGATTGCACTTTTACTGCAGTGTACATATTACTGCAGTGTACATATTACTGCAGTGTACATATTCCGTCCATTGAAAAAAACAAAACTTTTAACACACAAACACAATAAACTTCCTATAATAATAAATTGAAGAGTAAGAAAATAAAAAATACCATTGCAAAGATGTTGAAGAATAATGAAAACAAATGCAGTTTGATTGGCAGTAACTAACACTTTCACCTCCGAGTGATTGCTATTTTATTTTTTTTAACATAATGCAAAACACATTATTTATATTACCTGTGGAAGATTAAGTGAGTAAAAAAGATTGATTAGCTTCTATCAGCAGTTACTGGAGCTTTAGTTGTACCTGATCTCAGCTGAAAACAATGGTGTTGGTATAATATTCTGCTCAACAAACGTTAGATATTTACAAGGAAAGGTTTAAATTTCATATATTGACAAAGAAAGAGAATATTAAATCAATAATTAATATTATAGTAGCAACTAGTTAAAAAAGTTTTTTATTAACAGGTTTTAATGAACTTTCAGCAAGCATAAAATGCATAATACATTTAAATAAAAATTGTAGATACATTTTAATGTTAAACAAATTTAATTGAAAATGACAAGGAATAAATCAATTTTATTTTGTTAATGTTGGAGATTTTTAACAAGTTGCCAGTGAAGCAGAATAAGAAGTAAAACACAGTAACAGTTTCCCAGTTACTAAGCTTGAGTTCATTAAAAAGATTCTGCCAAAAAGAAGTGAGATTTTTTTCAGTATCTTGCAATGAGAAAATTAAAGTATATTTTATAAATAAAAAAAAGAGTTACAAAACCTAGCACTGAAAAGCACACAATTACGCACTTGAATGTTACATGGCAAAAAAAAAAAAAAATTGGTAAAAATCTATTTTGATAGGGCAAGATGTTTTTACACAAAGGTCTCTCTAACAATAGGTCAAGTAATAAAAATGACACTATGTCAGCATAAGATTACATCAAATAACCAAGAGACATTATTCCTTTCCTTTTTCAAAAGCATAATTTTACTAATATTAAAAAAAAAAAGGAAACGTGCAGCTTTAAAAAAAAAATATTGTTATCAAGCAAAACAGATAACTTTAAAATTAAAATGTCAATATATACATTTGTGTACGGCACATCTATACAATACATCAAAATATCACTTCTCACACAGTTCTTCAATCCAATGACATTGAACTAACAAACACAGGCAAACATTGGTTTTCAAATGAAACAATGAATGTATATTTATTTATAATTGCCTAGTTGTCCAGCAACTTGACAAAATTTTTAAAAATTTATAACAGCGATCCAGTTTGGATCATAATTATAATATTAGAAAGCTGCATATGACAGCTTCAAATTAAAAAAAAAAAAAATTATCATAAATTTAACTGAGCTTAGAAATCTCTCTAAAATTGAAATAATTTACTTTATTATTTCCCATGTAAGCTGAAAATTAAATAGAATGCTACACTTTTTAGATGTTATACATTACACAACTGTATTAAAAAAAATTACTGCTTTATTACTGTAAATGCTGGAGTTTTTTTTTCTTTCCCACTTCATTTAAAGCAGCTCATCCAACAAAGAAAGTCCATGGGAGTTTTAGGAATCAGATTAGCAAATATAACAACATCGTACTCGGGGGAAAAACCCTGTTTAAAGTTATCACGGAAACTAATTTATAAATAAATTATAACTTAGTGATCCACCTTCCTAGTGAAAATACCCAACAATATTTGATCGCTCTGTGTGAGTTTGAAACAATAAAAAAAACATTTTAAGAGGTGCATGTTTGTCAACAAAATATTCTTTGCATTGCAAAAAAAAAAAAAATGACTGAAGTGCTTTGAAAAATTATGCATCTTTCACATGTCTAAAATGAGTTAAGAAAATGGTGAGATCAAATGAGAGCAACTGTTCAAGGTAAAATTAATAAATTAGTTTGTTTAATCAGGCTTTACCCAGGTTTTTTTTCTACATGGAATTGAAATTATGGTAATGTGATGGTTTATTTGCAAAACATTTACCCACTATAGATTTAGAATAGACATACCAATTTAATTACATCATAATGTGGTTTAAATAAATAAAAAAAAAAAAAAAAAATATAAAAAAAAAAAAAGAAGAAGAAAAAAAAAAAAAAAAAAAAAAAAAAAGGGGGGGGGGGGGCCGTGTTGTTAATGAGCACTAAAACAATTGTGTACCTAAAATAATGTGTTCAAAACGATACAGTAAACTTCAATCTTAAAAATATTGACTACATGGCCGAACATATGGGGGATTCATGCATAACACAAACTGTACATTGTTCAAGCAATCATTGTGAATTAAAGAGGATGGTGTATCAAGTACCATAAGAACTCATAGATCAGACATCTTTACCAAAAATTTCGATAAAAATCAGGGGCGCGACCTGATCAATTTCAACATCAATTTCACATTATGTTATTCAGCGTGGCGTATTCATTTAATCAAAAAGTCTGAGATTCGTTTTTTCCCTTGCTCTCCAGAGGGCAATCCGTTTGACAGTTGCTTTTCAGTGTTATGGAAAAATTTGTGTAAGATCAGTGTAAGAACTTTTAGTTAAGTTTACATATAAAAAATGACCATGTAGCTCCTCAAACTAAGTGTGACCTATAAGCGGGTCCACCGCAAATACCAACTTTGACAACCCCAAACCTATCCACTGGTGCAACCTATACCCGAGTACATATAGTACTTTCCATTTTTAAACTGCACAAATTTGAACTAATACAACAAAAAAAAACAACAACGAAAAACTAACAATAAATTGTACATGGTTCATGACATGTATAAACATATGAGAACATTTATAAAGTGATTGTTTTGAGAAAAAATGTATGATTATTGTAATAAGTTTTGTGAACTTCTTTGCAACTTTAATCACTTTCATGCGACTTGTATGAACTCTTCTCTTTAGACATGAATGAGGCACACAATTTCTCTCATGTCGGTCTTATTTTTATTATTAACATGTTTAAATAATGGATGCCACACAAACTTCAACAGACCGTAACAAAATTGTAAAGCACTTCACAATGGGCTTGAAATGAATCTGAGAGGATTATTGACATTGAGTGTGCTGCCTGCCAAGAAATGTACATAAGTTCATAGAATGAGATACTGCAGTGTACATACAATGAGCATATTGAATGGTTTATTTTAAAATTATTAGTGGCTTAATTTCAAATGGATTGAATTGCTGAGGGAATAGCCAAGGATTATCTCATCGAACAGTAATTTCAATCCCTGGGATGATTCAACGAAATTCAGGAGCAGAGGGTTAAAAAAAAGTAGAGCTGAAAGAAAAGCAATATGGTAAAATGTGAGAAAATGTAGAGAGAAAATGTAGAGAGAAAAATTATTTTAATTTCAAGCGACAAGAAAATTTAAAAAAAAAAATATTATGTGAAATAATCTTTTAAAATTATTTCATCGTTATTTGTTAGAAATAATATTGCTTCATTTTCTGATCAATAATTTCTGAGCGAGACAGAGTTATAATTATTCTCACTACTAATTCCTTTACCGCCACATCTAAACAATTTAAAATGCATATCCTCATGCTTCATTGTGTTTTTGTTCAATGGACACTGGTTTTACTTTGAACAGTGATACTATTCCATTTCATCCTGCAGGTAGGATAGTTTTTAAGTGAACTGTCAAACAAACTTGAAAGTTATGATCAAATGTTGAGTCCAGAGACCTATCAGATAGCCGGATACTGCAATGGAGAGTATAACCCAATGATATTATAGCTATCCAGACAGCCATTTTAAAAAAAAAAAAAAAGGATAAAGAATTATTGCATTGAGCGATACTTGAATTAATACTGTAACAAGAATCAAATCACATGGATTTTAAACTTACAGCCTGCTCACCCCCTTTAGAAGCAAGCAGCTCTGGCATACATCAAATGTTTCATCAAGCGAATGGCTATGGATCATCGCATTTTAGATGTTAATGAATCTGGATTTAATTATTAGTCCTTTGGCTTGACACACACATGGAGATGATAGCATTATTTTTATTTATATAAGGGACTAATTAAATATTTCATGTAAATTTAACATGTAGTACTATTTGAAATTTATCATTTTTAAAATTAGTAAATCAGTGTTAAAATATATGATAGGATGAGTCCATAACCTCAAGTATTTCTGTCTACTCCAAAATTTGATACCTTAAAATTCAAACATACAAAACTTAAAAATAATTTCAAGTAGAAAAGTTGAGTTAAAACAGTATGTATTCAGGCAAAAAAAATAATTACACACGTTTAAAATGTTTTCTATTTATTAGGTTTAACTGAAAATGTTAAAACCTTTTTTACTTGGTAAAAAAAAACTTCCATCTCTAAATCATATTGAATAGCTTATAATTTAATGTTAAAGACTTATTGCAGAAAAAAGCCTAGGATTTTAAAATTATTTTTTTTATTTTGTTTTTTACAAATATAGCCACCATTGTATTCTTAAAGTGGTGTAACACGTGTTTGCTTCAAGTGCACCTCAACATTAAACTTCCTGGCACTTATCTTGCCAAAAACCTAACCATAGCCACACAATGAAACATTTAATATTAGAAAATATGAACAAAAATGTTCTTATTCAATAGTTTTGGACACTGTTGCAATGCTCAGTAAAAATAGGAAATAAAAACTAAATCACAAACAATTGGCCCACGCAAAAGCATTGAGCAGCACTCCCAGAAACAGTAATGCATGATTCAGGAAGAATAACTGTGATTGTCAATGATACACTTGACAGCAACATTATGAGCAATTAATAGTTTGACAAAGCTTATTTCTCTCCTGCAAATAACAAATGGAGGTGTTCAGGGAATGGAAACAAAGAAAAGAAGAAGCTATCTATTTAAAAAAAAAAAAAATTGCAGATAAAGAGTAACTGGCATTAAAGTAAAGAAGAAAGATGATGTAACACGAATTCTCAAATATATTCATTTATTTGAAATGGTGATCCTTATGAGAGTGCTCTGCTATTTAGAAACAGAAGTTTATAGTAGAATTCACCTTTCCCTTCTACTCATTACTCAGTGCTTACTAGGTGTTGGGGTTTACGGCTTAAGTAAACGGTACAATGTCGCCACTACTAATGTGTTGTTTAGGCCATTATCTCACTGTTTCGACAACAAAAAATTAAACTTTTAAATAATAAATTATATACTTAGATTAAGGTTTAAATACACACAAATTAAATTTTTTTCTTTTCTTATGGATGACTATTATTTCTGAAAATGAATTTACAATACAATATTTTACTGATTGATTATAATAATTCAGCCTAATTTTTTTTTCAGGTCCTGTGAGAAAAATCAAATTATACAATATTTATTGTAGGCCTATAGCATTTCTTTATGTTACTAAAACATGTAAAAAATAATTAAAATGAAATATAAAATTAAATAATATTTGACTAATCTAGTGATGGAATCACACTACATAATGGAAAACAAGGTTCTTATTCAATATGAATAAGATGACAACAACAAGTTATAAAATATGGGTAAGAAAAAAAAATGTTAAGCACTTATTTTTGTGCTTCTGCATTTCGGAAAATTTGTCCGCGAAGGCTTAAATCAGCAATTAGGGTAAAATTTTCTATAAACACCACAGAAATTTTTTTTAGGTGCACTAGACTACATGAATTTTTTACACTCTGTTTGAATGTTGTGGTGATGACTGTCGATGTTCAATCTCTTCGTCCAGATTTTTCATGAGAATCTCATTAAACTGTTGAAATATCTGAGTAAGACCTTCTTTGTTGTTTATTGAACAGCCTCTTACAAGACACTGCCGACTGCCGATTTCTGTTTCTACTTCCAGGAACCTTGACAACTAAAAAAAATAAATAAACAATTCCACTGACAATATTTAACTAAAATAACAGTTGACGGTGATATCTATATTAATTAATAACTGATATTAAAAAATACTTTTAAAAGGTATTCTCAATTCCCTTGTTTTGAGAATGTGTTTAATTAATATTAAAGGTGTTTTTTTGTATCGCTTTTAAATGAGATTTTTATTTCCATTCTTAATCCCTACATAATAGAGTAAAATAAAGGAGCACTTTAAATTGTAAATGTATTTTGCAATTCACTAGAAGAAAAATAAAAATTTATGAAAAAAGATTTGACTAACTTTAAAAAAAAGCAAAACAATACATGCTTTATAACTCTTAGTGTATCAAAATGGAGGCAATAATAAGTAACACATTTTTAAATATACATTTTTAGTTCTTTGTTGATTTTTAATCATTATTATGTTCCCATTCCCCTGAAAATTTAGTGGTCTTCTTTTTATTCAAATCGAAGAATATTTTTTATAGTGCAGTTAAATCTATTTTTAGCTTACTTCTTCTGGACTTCTGGCTCCTTCAACATCCTGGAAAGTGGCTAAAATTAAAAGGGGCAAACTCTTGAGCTGTTGATGTTTTACAGCATTGTGCATTTCTTGTTTGGCTATTTGAAGAGATTCTTCTGATGAATGGCTGTCTATGACAAATATAATGCCTTGGAAAACTTGATAGTATCTCTCCCAGTATGGACGGACTTTATCCCCTCCTGAAAGTCATCAGCAAAAAATGGATATGTTGTATTGTTATCTATTGTTTTTACTCAATAGATTTTTCATATATAAAACTTACGCAATTGTACTCCAAATACACTGCCATTTTATTTTTCAAATCTAATCAAAGTTATTGTATGGTACCCACACTTTTTAAAAATTTATTTTAAAAAGTAAATAAATAAGCCACACTTACCACCAAGTTCTTTTACATCCAAAATACAATCATCAAACAAAATTGCTTTGATACTAAACCCTGAGGAAAAAAAAGGAACAGGATTTTTAAAACAAAAATATGAAGGAAAAGAATACTTTTTTAAAACCAATTTATATGTTATCTGGTGCAATTAACTTGAATAATTTCAAATATCTCTTTATCTCAAAAGTGAATTGTCCACAATGGGTACTGAACCAACAGATTTTCTATTCAAGACACCCTAACTAGCTGAGCTAACTAGCCATTACAACTAGTTGATATATATTTATATTGATAATGATATTAAATGATTTACCTCTTAAAATAATTAACTTCTTAAAATCAACAATTTTTTTAAACTAAAACCTTTGAAATGTTAAAATTTGGAATAAAAGAATATTTAATCTAAAACTTAGTGAACCAGTAAATTTGATAAAAATAATAAGGTCAATTTATGCAATAAGTTGAATAAGCACCACTTTGAGTTTCTGTGTAGGATTCTCTGTCTTTTTTTAAAAACTGTTTATTTTTTTGCTAGAGTTAACTTTTGTTTTTAAAAAAATATTAATACACTGATGGAATGTTTTAAATTAATATTTCATTGGGGTGGGGTGTTACTCATAAAATTTCAAACAAGGCTTGCATTATGGAAAGGGTACTGATTTTGGGACAAATTTTGATTTTGTTTTTGATGGAACCTGCAATGAAGTGTGTCAAGTGTATTCGATGAAACTATAAGTTGGGTTTTAATTATTTTTAATATTTTAAAAATAATTGTGATCTTTTTATTCAAATTTACTATTTTCTCAGTACCGGTACATTACAGTGTGTAGTAACTGTAGCACATGGTTTAGGGGTCATATTAGGCATTGGGTCATAGATTTTAGGTTTGAAGATTTACGCTTACATTGGGGGAACTTAATTTAGGGTTGAATTCACGCTGTTTTTTTTTTTTTTTTTTTTTTTTTTTTTTTTTTTTTTTTTTTTTTTTTTTTTTTTTTTTTTTTTTTTGGGGGGGGGGGACTAAATTTACAGTGGAATTTATGCTTGAGTTAGTGATACTGAATTAACCCTTACAGTACCAGGCGCATCTTTTTTGAAGTGACCTACTTTTTCCCTGTGACCCAAGTGTGTCTTTTTTCACCAGCCGATTGTTTTCCCTGTGGCCCAAGCGCATCTATTTGCTACATAGAGGGGTATCTAATATAAACACAGAAACCAGTATATAACTTTTCACCACAGTCTTGGGCAGAATGTTTACTATTAGGGGAATAGTCGAATTTTAATTTGCCTTTTAAATTATTAAATTTTACCAATTATTGAGTTTTTTGTGCGGATCTGTATTGTTTGTTTCCATAGCGCTACACTACCGCTATTGTTGATGACGACTTACGCACAATCCCCTAGTGTTGATACTTAGAGGGATATAACCTTTAACCACAGTCTTGGGCAGAATGTTTATTCATAAGGGGAATATTTGAATTTTAATTTGCCATTTAAATTATTAAAATCTACCAATTACTGAGTTTTTTGCGTGGATCTGTATTTGTTGTTTCCATGGCGCTACACTACCGCTATTGTTGATGACGACTTACGCACAATCCCCTAGTGTGCCATTGCCAAAGAAAAATTTGAACTAAACACTTTGGTTTTTTTAACACCCTTATCCATTTCTGAACAGATAATTCTCTACATGTTATTATCAATTTTTTAAAACAAAAAAAGTTACAAAATAATTTGCAAACCTATCAAATTTTGGCTCATTCCAAAATAATGTCTTTGCCACAGGAAATAATTAGCAAAATAATAGCCGGGACTGAGGCTATACAAGCAAAAAGTAGGTCAGCACTGTAAGGGTTTACACTCAGGTTACATGGAATTGTAGATTTTTTTTCTAATTTAACCACTTTTTAGTATATGTGTTTTGCACTCCTTTTTTTAAAAAACAATACCGCCACCTTTCTTGCAGTGACCATTGCAACAAAGATGGCAGAATTGGAAAAAAAAGTATTGGAAAAACACTGTTAAATGAGTGGCGCGGATTGCATAAATTTACCAATAATTCAATATACCTATGGTAGGCTCAATTTTGTGAAGATCATCACCACTAAGAGTTGCTAAAACTGAACTTTTCCCAGCATTTTCAAGACCAATACACAAGACTGTAAAGTTTGGTCTTGTAGGAGAAGGTCCTTTGCAGCATAATCTTCTATACAACTGAAAAGATAAGTTATGGACATTAGTGTAGGATATTAATTATTATTGAAAATCAAATATATAGCTACTTCTAAGACATCATGTCATTTTAAGAAAGAAAGTTCTTTTTGTGATATCGTGATATAACATTGAATCTAATATCTTGATATAACATCGAATGTTACAAAAGGGCCCTAATAAAAAGGTAACATAAGTTCTTAAACACTATGACTATATTTTCAATATAAAGGAGCTGATAATTAAATAATGTGTTGTGCCAGGTCTAAAAAGCCTATTACAATTATTTCAAGAATATAGGCTTGGCATCTTTAAATTTTAAATTAATAAATTCACTAGTTCATTATCATCAGGTTGAAGGGTGTTAAATCAAGTACAACTTGGATTGTATACTTTAACCACACAAGCATACTGTTATACATTTGGAATCCAAGCAAGACATATTAAAATTTTGCTCACAAACACACACTGACAGACAGTTTCACTTAGTTTTAACTGCCATCAACAACCAACTATTTATTCAGCCAAGCTGTAATGATTAAAGAGACTGTCAGTAGAATTGACTATTAAAAAATTGTAATATAAGCTCAATTTCATTACTTTGATTTTGATTAAATTTATTAATCATTAGGCCAATATAAGACTATGACTATTAGAACTATGACTTCATCATTTTTTAATATATTCCTAATATTTACTGAGTTAATGAACAACAAGATTTTGAAATCAATCTCATAAATTTCTAATACCGTTAATTTAAAATAGTTACTCCGACTCTAGTCCCTAGGTCTAACTCATATTTAATTGCATTTAATTTAAATTAGGCATAGGCTTTTTGCTTTTACTTTTAATACTTTTATTATGATAGAAGTATTAATTATTCATATGGATTTTTTTAGGATGAGGGGCCATCCATTAATGACCTCACGCAAATTTTGCCCATTTTTGACCCCCCCCTCCCCCCACCATCACAAATAGTCACAAAAAGTTAGACCCCCCCCTCAAATATAACGTCACAAATCTCTGCAACCCCCCCCCTATAAAAAGTCCCTGTGTCCATTTTTGTCCTTTACAAACCCTTAAGAAATGACCCCCCCCTCAAATATAACGTCACAAATCTCTGCAACCCCCCCCCTATAAAAAGTCCCTGTGTCCATTTTTGTCCTTTACAAACCCTTAAGAAATTCACCTCCCATTGATATCAAATTACTGCACAATTACTGCAAAGTACTGACAAAAACATTTCACTAGATCAGTGGTTCTTAACCTGGGGTACAAGTACCTCCTCAACCTTGAGGTGTGGAAGACCAAAAATTTGTATTCAGTGGCGTAGCTAGAAGTGTGCGGACCGCATCGGTCCACACCATCACAGGGGGTGACACCAAATTGAAAAATAACGCAATTACAGAGCACACACTGATCGGTCTAACCAAAATTCATAAAAGGATAACAAATGACACGTTCATTTTCGACCCATGTAACCAATCAAAATGCGTGTTTCGTTAATATTAAAATTTCAAGGTTGATGTCAAGGCAATTAGATTACCATATGATTAGGTCAGAAACACACCGTTTTGATCATGTTTCAACGCCGAAAGAAGTGTTCGGTAACTTACTTTTGTAAGCGACAAGACGCTATAGTTTTTTAAATTCTGAGAAATAGAGCTATCCTTTGACAACAATAGGCGATTCTAAGTACAAGTTAAAGTTCTGAAATACATTCACCTCCTGATCTTCATTTAATTTTTGTTTGTTCTTGTATTTTTTATACTGTGGACTAAGTTTAACAAGAAGAAATACATTGTTCATTGTGAAAAAGGGGGGGAGGGTGACACCACAAGCTTACCGGACTGGGTGAAACCAACCCTAGCCATGTCACTGATTGTATTTGCTGCCATTGCTAGTTGTTGCTGCTTTAATTTTTTTTTTTTAAATGCAAGTTTTTATGGATTTTGATTAGCAGCTGTCAGTGCTGAATTTCATTGGTGCATTGCGTGTATTAGTAATTTTTTGCCCTGTTTATAAGATAAGTTAATTAAAGAAATAAAATTCCGATAATAAAATTATTTAATTATTTTAAATTTTATTACAATATAATTTTTACGGCTGTGGGGGGTGGGGATGTATAAAACGGAAAGGGCCTGATGCGCTGCAAAAAAGGTTAAGAATCCCTGCCCTAGACTAGAGCATTTACTAAGATAACCCCCACCCCGCGGTCAAATTTTTTCCCCCCGCTCCACCCCACTTCCTCTGTCCAGATTTAGCCATAAATTCTCACGACTGTCATTGTAACTACATTCCGATTCTCCACTACTGGGCATCCCGTAACTTGATCTGAGGCCATTCTTCGGACCTCCCATTCCTACTGTACTATTTCTCTCAGCCTCAGTGATAGTTTTAAAATAAAATAGCTATAATTGTTTTGTTTTTTAAATAATGTCAAAAATGTATATTAATTAGTGTTTTTAAGTGAAATTCTTTACTACAACATTCCGCTTTTCATGTGACGTCACATGGCTTGAGACCCCCCCCCCCCTCGTCACAAAAACCTGAAACCCCCCCCCCCTTTTTTTTAGACGTGTGAGTCATTTATGGATGGCCCTTACTGCACTGGCCTACTACTTCTCAGTCTCATTACTAAAGCATAACTGCTGCAAGCATCAAAGTCAGTTTCCCAGTCAAAGACAACACAATTGAAAATAATAAAACTCCAAGTCCTGTGTCTTACTTAGGCCTTAGGACTTAGGAAGTTAATTTGAATAATAAGTTGTAGTATATAAATATATATTTAATGATAATGACTAGGCTCTTACTATAAATTAGGCATACTAATTTTTACTCTAATAATACAATATTAAAATAGTCTTGAATATTACTATTATTTTATTACTACAAAACAAGTTAGTTACGTAAGTTGTAAGTGATAAGTGTCTTGATCTGCAATATTTTAATTTTTTAAAGACTTATCTTAAATAAGTAGACTCTAAACTCTAATCTAACTAAAGTAATGATTTTTCATTGGTTTTTTTAAGTTTAGATTATCCAGATAAGTGTATTATTCATAACACTAAAATAAATTAACAATAAAATACAAAATCTATTATTCAATATAGAAGAAGAGTTGCTTAACTTTTTAACAATGTAGGGCTAATTAAATTACAAGATTACCTACCGCGTAAAAACCGACTCGACACAGCGCGAATAAAATTCTGAAGCTTTCACACATTCTAACTGCTATATTTATTTCCAGTTCATATCATAATGTTTTTATGATTTATTCTGAGATTCAGTTCATTTCATTTAAACCATCGTCATATACGAAAGTAAATATTAGTGTATATTTTTAACATTTAATTACTAACTCTTGACTAACATGGAACAGACTTAAAATTTCTTCCTCTTCCGGAAACACTTATCGTCAAAATATGACGTCACATTGATTTTTTGTACGGTTCCATTATCACGATGATAGCTTGTAGCCTAGGAACAAGTTCATCGCGTGCGGTTGTTAATAATAATCAGTTATATGTTTTTAAAAATAATGATGAGTTAATATAATAAAGCGTTACATTTTGAGCAAATGTAAGTTTGACATATTAATTGATAGGCCTATAAATCAGTGGTTCTCAAACTTTTTTCATGAGCTTTTAATGAATGGGCTGAACCCACCCCACCCCCCCCCAATCTTAACCCCCCCCATCTTAACCCCCCCCATCTTAACCCCCCCCCCCTTTTCCAACTAGCCACTGGTTTCTCCCCCGTAATCCCGGCTTTCCGCAAAATTTTAGTAAACAAAAGACTTACCGGGAAATTTTCCCATCCCGGGTACACACTTTTATGTTACAATTTACTCTTTTATTTTATTTTAATTTAAGCAAGAGACAGGAGACAGATGGTTACAGATTGTAGCTAGAACAGTGGTTCTTAACCTGGGTTCCATCGAAAAAAAAATCAGAAAAAACAACAACATATATTTTCTTTTTCCTAATAAGAAGGGTTCGGTTAATGCGCATATGAAACTGGTGGGGTTCAGTCCCTCCAACAAGGTTAAGAGCCACTGCGCTAGAAGCCAAGACCTGTTAATCTAGTTAACTGTGCTGAATTACTCATAAAAGTTCTAGTACACATTTGCTCAAGTATTTCAAAGTCAGCACCTCCTTATCATAAAAGCAAAGTGCCCTTACCATGATATATTTCAGTGATCAGTGAACTGATGTAAATTGCCCCAAAAGCAAACAATTTGAAATCTTTAGGGGTAATGAGGGCGCAGTAGACATAAATACAAAATATTTAAAGCGGTTTTTTTTAATACGAATTTTTCTTCTTCTAAAAACACGGCATCTGACCAATGTATTTTAGAAACTCACTCAACATATTATTGTTACAAATTTACAAGTGGCTTGAGAGCTAGCATAAGTATAAGCTCACCTCTCGCGGTGTATACGTCATTTGGCCTAATCGCATATCTTATCTTATGCTCAGTGGCGTCACTAAAATTGGTGTCACCCAGTAAAAAAAAAAATCAATGGTCACCCCATTCAGACTTCTCCATCGACTGCCTCCGAGTCAGCCTCTTCTGGTGTCACCCTGCACTTTTGAAAACCTGCGCTGTGGGTATCCTACTCTAGTGACTGATGGCCCATGCTCTTGTATTTTAAATGTGTCATGAAACCGCTCGATCGAGTTCTGCCAAATTTACTATTTTTCATTTGGTGTCCTCCCCATTTAAGGATGTCCCCCACCCCCTGTGAGGGCGTTATCCACCAATTATTTAAACTCCAAAGACAGTGTCTAAAAAATTTCTCTGATTTAAAAAGGCCCCGATTTATATGTCATTGTATCGAAATGAAACATCATTTATACATAATCCTAAATGTACAATTTTTCAAAGAAATCCTCTTGTTCCCCAATGAGGATGTTATTAATTTATTTTATCGATTTTATTTTGCACTTCGTATATTTATAATTGTATTCTCCTCAGAAATAGACTCAATAAACTATTTTAAAATGTAAATAGTCTACAATTTTCTTCCTTGCCATCGGGGGTTATGTCAGTGTAACCAAAAATATTTTGGGGGTAAAATGGAAAACTATATAAAAATCCCTACTTCGCAACCACATTTATTGAGGTCACATCATTCCCGTTTTCCCGGGATAAGCAAAACCCCGGAAAATGAGAAGAGAAATCCTCCCCCCCCCCCAACCCACCCTACCTAAATGCATTGTTACAATAAACGTTTTCAATAATATATATGGTAAATTAGTTACACACCGCCTTTACGCCGAAGATGTATTTCACCAATTATTTCAGGGAAAAAAAATGTTACGTACCAATTTTAAAAAATGCATATTATTTATACGAAAAACTTTGCTTTTAGATGGTTGTTAAATTTCTTAATTGTCGCAAGTAAAATTTAAATAAACGCATGATGATAAGTTCTTAGTCTACTTGTTTATTGTGGAGGACACTAATAAAAATAGCAAAACTTTGAGATCGTATCATTATTAAGTTTAATTTTGTAAATAGCTATTGCATTTTTTAGATACCAAAATTAGGTGATGTGAAGTAATGATCAACTCACCTCCTAGTCTCTCCCGAATATTCTCTTCAACTCCTAAGCCCATATACTTTTCAAAATAGCCACTACCACCTCCTTACTCATTTCAACTGAACTCCTAAGCCCATATACTTTCCACGATAGCCTCTACCACCCCTTTACTCATTTCAATTGAACTCCTAAGCCCATATACTTTCCACGATAGCCTCTACCACCCCCTTACTCATTTTAACCGAACTCCTAAGCCCATATACTTTTCAAAATAGCCACTACCACCTCCTTACTCATTTCAACTGAACTCCTAAGCCCATATACTTTCCACGATAGCCTCTACCACCCCCTTACTCATTTTAACTGAACTCCTAAGCCCATATACTTTCCACAATAGCCTCTACCACCCCCTTACTCATTTCAACTGAACTCCTAAGCCCATATACTTTCCCCGATAGCCTCTACCACCCCTTACTCATTTCAACTGAACTCATAAGCCCATATACTTTCCCCGATAGCCTCTACCACCCCCTTACTCATTTCAACTGAACTCCTAAGCCCATATACTTTCCCCGATAGCCTCTACCACCCCCTTACTCATTTTAACTGAACTCCTAAGCCCATATAACTATACGTTCCCACCTGATTATTCCCCGCCCATGCTCATTCCATTAAATGCTTTCAAATGTCAAAAAGTTGGTTTCCGATCATCACCCTCCGTTCACCTTAAATTCCTCGTCTCTCCCTCACATTCTTTCCCCTTCTATACCATAAACCCATTATCTCCTTCCTCCCCACCTAACCTACCTGCCACTCCCCACTTAATTCCTAACCCCCCCCCCCAATTTTCGTTGTTGTTGCACTGACCTTAACAAATAACGATTTTAGGTTATATTTCTCTTTCTCACTCCTCGTCAATGCCAGATTAATAAAATTCGTGCCCTTAAACTCAATGCGCCCACACAAAAAATATATATATTATTTATATATAGGCCTATATAAAATATATATATAATATACAGATGAACCCGCTTATCTCGACCTCGGTTAACTCCCCAACCCTGCTATATCGACGTTTGTGGAACCGCCAAATTCTCTCTTTGTCTTAGCATTTTCTCCTCAGTTATGTCGATATTTTTATGTCACCAAACCCTGATATCTCCAACACAAAAGGGGGCCAAATTTGCCACTTAACCTCGGTTATCTCGATCCCCTTTTGTTAGTTTATTGCTATATATTTTATACATATATTTATTGTAGCCGTATGGTGAGTGACAGCTGACAGTTTTAACTAGTTCATAAACTCAAAAAAATTCCGCTCCTGAGAACGACTGACTTTTATTTGTTCATTAGAGTGGTAGAAGAAAAAGCCTACGAAAAAGGACAATGTCTGAAAAGATACAAATAGTACAGGTTGTGCCGACTAACATTTGAATTACACAATAAATTGACCTGTTGACTAGCTCTGAACACCTCGACATTCAGCGTTGCACTTCTGGACTGAATAATCTTGTTACAGATATCAATTGGAACTAATACTCTGTACCATACAACAGTCATACATGAAGGATGTGACAGAAGACAAGGCTTCATTAATCTCTTTCTTGTTTTGGGCAGTTAGATTCAACTTCAAGTGGTTTCCTGATGCTCATTTGATGATGCCTAGCAGGTGGTCAACAAAAGGATTTGTACTTTCAGTACGGCCTGACGATCGTGTGTTAGTCAGGCCGTGAAAAAAAGACCAATACACTTCTGCAAGATTTCCCAACGCTGTGGCCTAGAAGTAATTATAAACTAAGATGTAAACAGTTTGGACAATTCCAAAGCATTTTATGGCTTCTACAATGCATTCTATGGCTTCTACAATGCAATCTATGGCTTTCCACACAAAATTAGTACCTGACATCCATATAATGAAAATAAAGCTGTTTCATATTGCTCAAATATCCTTACTATTTGTGCACCTTTATATTTCATATCCCTGTGCACGACAATCTAACAGTGAAATATCGTGTTCTTACAATGTTTCTGTCATCATCTGTGCTATTTTATATCATGTTTTGTGGCTTGTGTTAACTCAATGTAAACATCTTCCTACAAAGGTGGCATAATGTATTACATAACGGAAAAGAAATGTTGGTTCAATATGGGATGAAAAAGCGTAGAATCAATAATAACAACAAAGCACTTTGCAATTTTCCTGTCCTCTAACATGTGTTGGCATTTGCAAGTGAGGTCCATGCAGCAATGAACTCATTTTGAGACTTGACACTGTGATAATGTACTTGAATTTATTATCATTTTCTTGTGATTCTTTAACTTTCAACGCATGTTTTTTGAGAATGGAATCCATGCAATGAGAAAACAACCCTATGACTCCCAGAAATTTTTTATTGACTCTTGTCACCAATGTGCTGGGAACTGCAGCGCAAAGCCAGCCCTCTTTTACCGAGGCAATAGTACAACATCAATGATTCTTTTCATAATGTAGTATCACTTGACATATTCCGTTTCAAATATGCCGCCAATAGAATGTAAATGCCTTTTCTAGATGAAATGCGTATTTGTAGTTCTCGACAAGTCAGATAGCACTGACCATGACTATCGCTTCTCTCGTGTTCTGGGATGCGAATACATAATTTTCACCACTTTTTAGCTGCTGACCATCCTTCAGCTGCCGACCATTTTTCTATTGCTGGAGGCATAGAATTAGATGAGCTAATGCTGCAACATGAAATCGAAATAATGCTTGCTTTAATTCACTACAGACAAGCCTATGTCGATTATCTTTTATACCACTTAAACGTCGAAATATTTTAGTACTTTCGGAAAAAAAAAAACACCTGATTTGGTGATTGTTTCAGGAAAGCCAGTAGGCCCTATAACATATAATAAAAAGGCTGTTCATATCAAACAAGGCTGCATTGCTGACTTGCTATGCACACAAAGTATATAATAAGTATGAAGGAGGCCTATAAATATTAAATACTGTTTTTCTTTAAAAAAAATGTTTTGTAAATTTTGTTTTAAATTTTTTCTCCCTTCGTGATGTGCCCCCTTTGAGCTCCATGGGCCCACTGACAATGTACCTACTGCCAACTGCACCCACTCTCTTAGGGCCTGGGTAAGAATATATTATGTATTACACTGAGCAATTCAAACTAGCTTAGTATGCTACGGATATCATTCTTTGACAGCACAGATGTCAGATGATATTTATTGGATTTAAATTCAAATTAATTAAACTTTAATTAAACGAGCGGGTGATTTTTCCCTCTGAAGTCTCAGTCCGGCTTCTAATTATAAAAAAAAAAAATAATAATAAATTTGGAAGATAAATTTAAGACAAAAAAAATTAAGTACTAGAAAATGTTCAACTGGCGTAAAATCTCTGTCCTGCTCAATTGGGATAAACTTTATTTTAAAAGATAGCATGAAATATAATTATAATAATTATGCGCATCCCAATTAAGACGCACATCTTCTGTCAATAAGTTTATAAAAAAAACTTGCACTCAGCTGTTGACTGTTTATATTCGATGTCTTACCATCTCCCAATCTTTCTGGGACCTGGAGAACAGCAGGCTGAATCTTTTAGAAAGGGTACAATACAAACATGTCATTGGAATTTCAAAAATGATGTTTTAAATTTGACAAGGCAAAAGCTATACGGCATGAATCATTTTCTTACCCATCCATTTCGTCCAACTTCAAGACAAGATTAACGTGCCTTCGCGCCTTACGAAAATATTATTAATATTTAAATAAATAATAACTAACCCCATTGCCATTGGTTATAATTTTAATACAGAATCTCATTAAGAGAGTTGTTACACCCTAAAGCAGTGGTCCCCAAACCATCAAATGGTACCGGGCCGCCCAAGAAACATTAAACTATTTTCATAGTATAAGTATAAGCTTACCAGATTTTCTGGATGTTAAGTAGGGATACAAAAGGCTCACAGTCAGCAACCCCAACCAGACAGGCCGGGGTGGGGGGGGGGTGGGGGGGGGGGGTTTGTGCTTGATTATTATTTTTTTTGTGATGGGGACACTCCCTACCCCCCAAACTTGTACGTACACGTAGCTTTTAGCCCCCATCCCTATGAAAAAAACAAAGACGACATCAAACAATTTAATGGGTAATTGTGAAGTCACGGGATAATTTTTTTTTTTTAAATGAGTATACAGCCGTCAATTTGGCCAGCCCAGTGATCCCCATATTATGCGTCACTCTAGGTGCCATGTTGCCCTCAGGCAGAGCCATTGAAACGGGGGAAAAGATGGCAGTCACAGTGGGAACCAAATTAAAAATGAAAACAATCCAAAATATAAACAATCAACACCCCCCAACCCCTCAGCGGGCTGCGGTAAAATTATCAAACGTTGACCGGTCCGCGGCGATAAAAAGTTGGGGGACCACTGCCCTAAAGTATTGAAATGTGCTAGCCTAATAGTAATACACGTGGCTACCATACATGTCAAAACATATCAAATAAATAGAAGAGAAATATGTAATAAATTAGATCCGAATTTAAAAGTTAATAAAAGCATTCAATACTTTATTACTAATACTACTAATATAGCTGAATATTTAAGTCAAAGTAGATAAAGATGATGCATAGACATTAAGACATAGACCATTGATGTCAGTTCATTAGAAACACTTCAAAAGTAAAGGGAAGGGGATTCCATGAATTTGAGAAGAAGTGAAATAAAAGTGTCTAATTTGTGACAATTGTGGGATGGGGTTTCAAAAATACAGCCAAACTAGTATGACTTCATTTACGAATGGCTCCATGCCATAACGTATCCATATCAAGCACGACTCAGTATAATGTATCAATCAGATGAGTGGGGTAATTAATTATTTACTAATTTTTTTACCACTCCCTCCTTGTCAACAAACTCAAGGATCCTCCCTCCGCCATGACATTTTGTCAAGGGACACCCCCCACCCCCCCCCCAATAAAAACCCCTTATTTTATATATATATATCTTTATATATATCATTAATTCTATAATTGATGCACTACTTTGAACTCTACAAGATTCCAATCACATGCATAACAATTTTCAGCTTCCTCAGAGACATTTTCCCAACTATATCATATCATTTTGGTGATTTTGGATTTTCCATCTCTAGCACTAATCAATCTAACACTGCAACTAATGTCCTAAACAAACACATTGATATTATTGTATAACTTCAATTAACCTTTTTGACTGTATGATATTACACACTTAACACTTACATGTCTCTAATTCTCACACTAGGATAAGCTTATTCTATGAACATAATTTATCCAGACTTTCCATGTTACTCAACACTTGTCCTTATTCCATACCTGCAACTTTATTGCTACTTCGCAAATTTATAGAACTATCTACACACATTAACTTTTTGTTTTTGTAAGAACTAAGTATCTGTAAGTAAATGATTAAGATTTTTAAAATTAAATACAGTACAGAGAAATTTATTAATATTATTTTAAAGATACCAGTAATGCCTAAAATATTTGCATGTTATATTGTTAAAGAATAATCTATGTTGCTTATTATTTTTGTACTTTTGTTGAGGGACAGGGGTGCTCAGGAGCTTTTAAATGAGTAGTGTTATGGAAATCGCTATGATTATTTTACTGGTCTCCATTTGGAATTGGTAATAATTAGATAATCATTTTTCTAATATAAGATGTCATAACCAATTCAATAAAATGCAAAACAAAATGAATGTTACAATAAATCTAGAAAGGATGTTAACTAAAAGTAATGAATCAAATGCATGGAAGCTTGAATAATGATCATAAAAATAATGAATCATTTATTTTTCTCATATTCATTATACTTAAATTTCAGATTCCTGAAATGTCCTCCCAAGCTCTGTCACAGGATTGGCTGAATACTTTTATATCAAGTTACAGCCTTCTCACTGATGAAGATAAAAACTTTGTTCTTGATTCAATAATAGCTGCATCTGGGGTGAGTTTAGAATCTGGGACAGTTGTAGTAATTTTACCACACAAGCCAAGATTTCAAATTTTTGTGGCCCTCTGCAAAGTTACATTATGCCCCACTGGTTGATCTGGGCTCTATTTAGAATTAGAATACACTTTATAATATCTTGTGAAATTGAAATCAAAACAATATGAATTATACATAACATCATTCAACTAGCTAAGCCTTAGAAACTGCTCTTACGTTGTAGTGCTACAAGATGTAAGCATTAAAGGGGCAATGTTAAAAAGGAATACATTTATATTTCAGGTGAATTGAGATCCATATACACTTCATTTAATGCAAACAACTGTAAAGTAATAAATATTATTTTCCATCTTCAGCCCAACCAGCTTTTCATGTTGAGCACTAAACTAAAAGATTTTGTCTTCAGAGATTTCATCAGCTTCCTACCTCCTGAGATAGCATTTCAAATTCTTCAGTACATTGATGGCAAACAGTTACTTGTTTGCTGTCAGGTAAATAAATTTATGGACTTTTTCCTAACTCTTTGAAGTCCAGTTTTTTTTTAATGTTTTAATGGTCATCTTAGCATGACATAAACAGAGTATTTAACTAATACCCATCATATTATATATTTAATTGCTCAGAAATGAATGGAGATATTTATGTAATTTGCGTACAAATGATTCTGTTGTTTTTTTCCCCAATCATGATTGATCTGTGAAAATGGGTTTACAATTTAGAGTAAGAATGAAAAAAACCAACCTATAGAAGAAATAGTTTAAAATTTATTGGTATTTGTTTTTCTTAACTAAATAAAAAATAAATTAAAAAAAGGTTAGCTGTCTTCTATGGTGACAATGCCAGATTTCTCTATAGCTAGACTGCACAGAATTAAACTTGTTAAATTTTAATATATTATCAAAGCCCTCATGAATATTTTAATATTTTTTTTTAATGTTAGCCTGTAACTGTAAGCCAAAAAATGTTAAAAAATTTAAGTTAAACTGTTAAACAATGATCTGTAAATATCAGATCAATAAAGACATAATATTAATTTTGAAAACATTTAAAAATGGAAACTATTGATGTTAAAATCTTTAAAATTATGAGCAGGTCTGCAAATCTTGGAATGAGAGAATCAACAATTCACAAAAGCTTTGGAGGAGCTTGGCTGAGAATGAAGGAGCAGTTGTAGCAGATAAAACTAATGATTTTGAAACATTGTCAAAACCAGAGAAGAGAAACTATACATTTGACAGAAGCCAATGTTACAAGATACTTTATATGCACACATTATCTGTTCTGAAGGGTTTAAGCACAGGCCATTCAATCAGAATTAATGAAAACTACATTGAAAAAGGATCCTGGAGAATCACGTCAGTAAAATATTTGTTTGGAAATATTGTAACAGGTAAATTAAATTAACACACAAAAATGAAAAGATTAGCGTATGGAAATTTTTATCAATAATTAAAATGATAACTTTGGACTTATGTGAGATGCAGAGAAGTCAAATTTATTTCTTTGTCTTAGGTTGTGATGATCATACAGTACAAGTCTGGTCTGTTCCTGATGGTTTATCTCTTATAATGGTCTCAACACACTCAGTTTCCTGCCTCACAATGACAGACACACATCTGTTTACTGCATCCTTTAATGCAAATGCAGAGTCGTGGGATCTTGCTACTGGATACCATTGTCAGACTTTTTGTGGTCACACATCAGCTGTCATTGCTATTGATGTGACGCCAGACAAGTGCTACTTATTGACGGGTTCTGTGGATAAAACTGCTAAGCTATGGCATCTGAATAACGATTCATCCCTTCTAGTCAAAACATTCAATCTTCACGCAGACTGGGTTTTTCACGTGAAGTTTTTACCCAATTTTAATGACGACCTTCATTTTCTGACCTGCGACTCATTACTGGTCAACATCCAGCTGGTCACTGTAAATGGAGATATAAAAGCCTCATATCATATTCATCTTTTTGAGACCTGTTCAAGATTTACATCATTTTATCACTCAAAACATGATCCTTATCAACTTTACATTTGTCAGTGGACTGAGGAGAAAAAATCATCTCATTTATCCTGCTACAAAATAAGACCTAAATTAAATGTTGCTGAGAAAGATTTCCACTTTCAAATACCTTTAAGCTCCTTGAAAGCTTACTTACTCGGAGCTGGTCAAAAGTTTGCTGTGATAATGTGCTCTATTTCTAGAAAAGACTTCCATGTTGTTGACATAATTCGTAGATCTGTAGTAGCAACCATAACCACACCAGATTTTTGTATGTGAGTAAATTTAAATAAATAAAAAAATAATTTAAAAAAGAAAAAATAGCAAATTTTCAAATTGTAGTAAAAAATTAAGTTATATTTTTTAAATTGTTTAGGTTTACTTCAATATATTTGCCAATCATCCATTATGTTACATCACGTCAGGCTTATTCATTAGTGCTAAGTTGTGCATTTGTTTTCAGCACCAAACCTTTTAAAAATATGATTGCATAAGCAATGTTAATATTAATAGTCTGTTTAATTTATTGAAAAAAAACACAAAAAAAAACATAAATTCAAAGAATTCTTACGGAGACTATAATAATATTCTGTAATCTTATAATATAATTCCCGGGTCGATCTTGTCTGCCCCGCTCTCATTGGCCGTGCTGCATTCTAATTTGCAAAACAACCTTCCAAGTCCGTGCATCTAGAATTATTGTTATAGATTATGCACCTCTTCCTGTATCTTAAACATGCAATGTGGTTGTGCTGCCCTTGCTAGTTTCAGTACAATTTTGGTTCAGATTTACATGAGTGGTAAAAATGTTTTTATTAGTTGTTTTTTTAGACCATAGCTCATTCATTCACCACTTCTTAGAAGACTTAAGCAAGGTAATGAGCTGCTCTAAGCTTCATTTTCATCTAATATTGAACTGCTTGTGAGATGCAAACAGAGGTTTCAAGCAATGATGCAATTTGGTAACATACAATGTAAATTGTATGTTATAGATATCCTTTGAGAAACAACTGAAAATTATGTAGCCTACAGGATAATCAAATCAGCAAGTTCCAAAACTATGAACATATTACCACAGTCATAATACTTAGCATGTGCGCAAGAATAGGCTCAAACTAGCCATTACAAATTGATACTACTATTCACTTTAGAAAAGCTTAGAATATGTCATACTCAATGGATCAGCAGTATGGTTGCCTAGTTCATTCTTACTTGGCTTTGAAATTTTTATTAACTATTTCAGAATAGATAATGAAGAATCCACCAAATTCATTTCTTGGGACGATAAGCTGAATTTATAACAAATGATTTATAGAATAATGTCTGCTTTAAAAAAAAGACTAAAATTTTTATTATTAACTCATTAACATACTTAAATCAGTATCTTATCAGAAGTTTTTATATTTAGGCAAATCAGACCTTGATACTACCAAGATAAGTGTTGTCGAATTGTAATGATTTTCTGAAGCATTTACTAATTTTTTTAAAAATAAACATTTTAAATAATAATTACATTGAAGTTTATTTTTTTTCCATTAGGTTGACTCGAAATGGCTCTTCTGTCACATTGTGTAACACAAGCTGGTTGGATGGCTTAAACTTTGGTGAAATTAATGAACAAACTCCTGTGTTTGCCGCAAGTGTGGGAAGAAACACTGTAATTTTGGGCACATGGACAAAGTGTGTTGGCAGTTTAACAGAAAAAGATTAAGAAAGAAGAGGAGGCCTATTAACTTGTTTATCAAATGTTATCAATTTTAGCAGTTAGTTTTTATATAAAGAAGAGAGCTGTGTAGAATACAAAATAATCATCCTTCCACTGATAGTGGTCCATGGCTTTTTGTCTGCATGCACAGACCCCGGCACTGATTGTAAATCCATAGTTTAAAAAAAACACATTTATTAATTTAAGTTTCCTCAGCAAATCTTACAAAGACTTAATAAAATTTGCTCTTAGTAATTTTATCTTTATCAAGAAGAAAGTTAAAAACACTTTAATGAATTTTGTTCCCATTAAATCATTAAGTTAAATTACATAACAATTAAGTTTGTATTTGTATTTATCTTTGTTTTATAAGAATATTTAGACAATTTTAATTTATCAACTAATATTTTGATTAAAAGGACTTTGACTTTATTTTTCAAAAAAATCTATCAGAATTTGATGAAATGCCTTTGACAATAAATGTTTGAAATAAATGGTACAAATATATCATGTGAAGTGCCTCATGCGTTTATTATTTTCATCAATGATCTGAAACATTCAATAAAGGATGTTGTCGTCTGTTTCATCTTTTACTGGAGTCTCAGGCAAAGAAAAGATCTCAGGAAACTTGAGTTCAGCTTTAGTAATGTTAATGCTATACAGCTCACTCCATGACAGCAGCGAGTCCTTATTTTTATCAAATGCATTAAAAAACTGTAATGTTTGAATTAAACAAAGTTTTGAATCAGTCAATTCGTTATTTAAGATAATTTTCAAAGAACACACAATAACGTTGTTAAATTTGTTGATAACAAATCTGGAAGAAATATAAACTAATTGCTTTATTCTAACTTAATGCAACAGATTTTTGCTTTTAAGCACATTTCACCTGAATTTTTCTCTCCTTTCTGCCTTTTAAAGAGGACAGCACATGTTGTTATGTAAAGAACTCCTTGATTTCATGTTCTACACCCAGACGATAAAACAACTGGATTCTGTAAAACAATAAGCTCATTATTTTGGGTCATTAAGTTGCAATAAGGAAATGAACAATTTAAACAAAAAATGTAAAAATAATTTAATCAGCTGTCATTCCTGGCCATCCTGTCACATTTTCCCCTTTACTATTGTATTTTAAAGACACAAATGAATGTGTTCTTATTCCTAAAAATACTCTGAAAAGAACTGAAGTTAAAAAAAAAAGATATAGGATGCAGGATACAGAAAAATGAACAGAAAAAGAATATATTCAAACAATTTTTGGGGATTTTAATGTGATGAAAAATTTATTTTAGCGCCTAGCCCCTTTAAGTTTAAGTGGACGTTTAATCAATTGATGTTAAATCGAAAATGTTCTTATTGTTTTGACAAGAGTATGATTATTTTGTGAGAGAACATGCCGTTAGATATTTTATTATTTTTTTTATTATAAAAAAAAAAAAAAAAAAACACGAAGAGACATTTTGTGCGGTTAGATGTCTATATGTCGTGTAATTAATAGTTACAGAATAGTAGAATAGTTACAGGTGTTACGACACTAGAATGTGGATACTTATCACCTTGTTGATCCACAACTGCACAGTCGAAGGTGGGGTTTGCTATTAATGTTAAATGTCCAGTCATGCACAGGTTTTTTTTGTTTTTTTTTTTTTTTTTTTTTTTTGGGGGGGGGGTTGGGGGGGGTGGAGTTGTTTACTTACTGTTAAATGTCCAACCAGGCAAGTTTGAGAAGGTGAAAGCAAAGGGAACCGCAAATTAAGTGCTGGGTGGGCAGTAAAGATATCCACAACTGCACAGTCGAAGGTGGGGTTTGCTATTAATGTTAAATGTCCAGTCATGCACAGGTTTTTTTTGTTTTTTTTTTTGTTTTTTTTTTTTGGGGTGGGGGTTGGGGGGGGTGGAGTTGTTTACTTACTGTTAAATGTCCAACCAGGCAAGTTTGAGAATGTGAAAGCAAAGGGAACCGCAAATTAAGTGCTGGGTGGGCAGTAAAGAAATCAGGGGTCAAAGTTTAACAATGGCTTTACTTTAAATGCTTAGATTGGACCAAACAAAGGTACAGGTATAATTGAACTTTAAGGGATATCAAGTGCACTTGGGACTTGGGGTGGTTGTGTGTTAAGTACATACTGATCGGATAACGTTACTGAAGACTTGTAAAAAAAAAAAAAATCAGATTAGTTCAGATTAGAGTTGTGAAACCAAAAGTAGTGCTATTTTTTAGGGATGGTGATTTTCGATGGTCAAAACTAAACAGCCTTCTAATGATGCACAATGATTTGGAAGAAGAGGGAGACGTATCATCATATGCACGTTGAAAATAAGAAGAAATGAGAAAACGAACAGAAAGTGCATACATGTATGTGTATTAACCAGAGAAAGTATGAAACAAAACAAACATTTCATTATAGTCAAAGATTCCATCCAAGATCAATTTCGTCATCATGCTTTGAATATGATTGGACAGAATTTACACACGTTCATTCACAACCCTCTGTTTCGTAGCAAGTATGACAACACGCCGATAAACACACTGTTTCATCCTGATAATTTACCCACGGAAAATGTCTTGGCGATTAAAAAAAATTCTAATGGAAAGGCATAAACTATTGCAGATGTTATTGACAAGGAGCTAACTGCTCTGATTTAAATTATGAGAACATTATTGCTTTTGGCTTGGGTGTGCTTCCAATATGGCTGAGAATATTGGAGGTTTGAAGAAAACGCTTTCAGAAAAGGCAGAAAGAGAGATTCTTCATATCCACTGTAGAGCTCACAGCTTCCTGCAGAAATAAAATCGAAAAGGTCAAACAGTTTTTCACCGTTTTAAAGGACTTTTATAAGCTGTTTAGCAAGTCACCTAAGAGAGAAAATATTTAGCATGAAATTCAAGCACTGATCAATGATCCAATACTCGAAATCCCACAGTGTATTGAAGTGAGATGGTTGTCTCATCATAGAATAGTAAATGATTTCTTTAGAAGCTTTATGTCAAATTTGATGGCATGTGAACACATACTCAAAGATGAGGAAAACCTTTCATCAGTGGCAAGAGGAATCTTGCTGGAAATCAGAAATGAAAGTTTCATCATCACCTGCCATATGATGAACGAACTTCTCGGTGCACTCTCTTACCTCAGCATTGCTTTGCAGAGGAGAGATTTGAATTTATCCAAAGTCAACCCCCCCCCCTAATTACTGCAACCAAATTCCACCTGAGAGACATTGCAAAGCAGTGGGAACATATAGATAGTGACTTGCAAAAAACAGTAAGATGCAAAATTATGGAGATGCGATTAGATCTGAAGTGAATTTATTTGATGATGAATACAGAAAGAGAACATTCACAGGAATGAAGGAATACTTTAAATTTGTAATCCTATAAATTGAAGACAGATTTAATGACAAATCAATTGATACCTTATTATCTGTAAGTCAATTTGAAACCTTTCAGTCACTGATAAATTTACTTGACACAGACATCAGAAAGTTTTGTGAAAACTTTTCTATTCTTAATGCAGAAGGTGTTCTTGCCGACCTGAAAACTTTTCTATTCTTAATGCAGAAGGTGTTCTTGCCGACCTAAAATCATTTAATTTTTAAAAATAAAAACCATGCTTGAAAGTGGAACCTAAAAATTCGATGAAAACCCATTAACTAAAATCTTGGACGCTAATGTGGGTTAGTGTGAGCTGATGTGGGTTAGTGTGAGTTGATGTGGGTTAGTGTGAGCTGATGTGGGTTAGTGTGAGCTGATGTTGGTTAGTGTGAGTTAAAGTGGGTTAGTGTGAGTTGATGTGGGTTAGTGTGAGCTGATGTGGGTTAGTGTGAGTTACAAAAAATCTGTGAAATCCTTCTTGTCATTCCTGTAACAACAGCTTCAGTAGAAGGATCCTTCAGCACCATGAACAGATCACTCAGCAAGGCCAGGAATAGAATACAGTCAGAGACATTAATGCATTGTATGCTAATAAACATTGAATGTCCTGAGATCCCAACCGATGATTTTCTTGAGAGAGCAGTAGATTTATATGCAACCAAGAAAACTCGACGAATAAGACTTCTTTAAAACATATCAAACTTTTAAAAGGTTTTTGCTACTCAATGTATATTTTATTTGTGCTTTTTCAGCTTTATAGTCTTACAAGTTCCCTAATTCCTCTATTGAAAAAGCAATAATGGATGCTTTTTGTGACATGGACTCTTGTTCTTATATTTTTTTAAAGATGAACAATTTAATACATTATTATTATTATTATTTTTGATACAAGTTTGTAATACATCCCCATCTGTAAGAAAATACAACAATCACTTTTAAGTCAAGACGTATGAAGAAACAGGATGGCGAATTTTGTGTTGGAAAAATTTCAAAATGTTTAACCTAATAATTATCCCAGTTAAATTAAGTTTTTAAATTAAATTTAATCATAATGTTTTTGGTGTTGCTTTGTTACCTTAATTTGCTTAAACTTTAAATAAATGATATATGAAATGTTAAGTATGTACATACAATCAAAACACATTCCATTTGTTGGTTTTGACAAAAGTCAAAAGACTATTTTCAGATCACATATTTTAATTTTGTTTCATTACTGAGTAATTTTTAGCAAATAAATAAAATTATTTTCTACCAATTATAAAAACATTCTTTATTTAACTGGGTATATAAAAGTTGTTTTTGCAGATCCCATCCCCCCTCCCCCAAAGGCCCCTGGATCAATTATTCGGAAATAAACACTGGTGACCTAGTTCTGGCTAGTTCCGCCCTGAGTGGGTCAAGATGTTTGATGCCACACTTCCTTAATAAAAAGACTGCTGTTGGTCGAAAATACTGCCCTTCATAAAAATTTAAAAGTACCCTCAAGGGAGAACCACCATAACGCCATTGACACTGCCCACCCACAAATCTGAAGTGCTTCCCCTCCCCCCTGAACATCTAAACACCCCCATTCCCTAAGAAATTGTCCGAAAGAAACACTATATGTGATGAGGTTTGACCACTTGATGTTCAATGTATTTCTAAGGCAAGTGTTTATGAAGGTCTGTACTTTCTGCGTAATGCTCGCTGTTGTTGTTCTCCAAGTTCCGTCTCCAAAGAGTAGGACTGTTTTGACATTTGTGTTGAAAATTCTGACTTTGGTTTGAAGGGTAAGCTCCCTTGACTCTCATTTATTTTTTAGTAGCACATATGCTGTCCTAGCCTGTCCGATTCGCGCCCTGATATCCACTTCGAATCCACCATTATGTCAATGATGCTGCCTAAGTATGTGAAGGCCTCCTCTTCTTTCACTGGTCCACTGCCGGAGAAATATGCTATTGGTTGGCTGAGTTTACCTTCATGATCTTTGTCTTGCTTTTATTTATATAAATAAAAGCAAGATTAATCGGTGCCCTCGATTTCTGCCACACATCCCGATGAAGATGATGCCAAATTTTCGTGACGTTAGATACACTGTCTAGCTGGTATTAGTACTACAATGAGCGGCCAAATATTTTTGATGCTCTCCCTTTC